TGAAATAACGTATTGTTCGAATTTCAATGCTGTAACACAAAGGATTTTGACAGGGTGATTAATTTGTTTTAAAAAATTAAAATATCTTTGTAAAGTGAACGTTTGTTTGCTCATGGGAATTTAAAAATGCTTCGTAAATTGTAATATACGTAATATGCATTCGTGGGTTTAGTACTTTATGCCTGACATAACAAGTTTACGCTGAGTATTACCATTCATTATAGCAGTTATGTCAATCTTTTATGCACTCGTGGGATTAAATTAGTGCTAGGGCATTGAATATCGAACAATACGTCAATGTCAATGATTTTGGGGTTTTTTGAGACACCCTGTACAATACGTTATAGCTAATTTGAATTTGAAAGGGTTCAGGTTTTTTTATACAGTGTGTCCCAAAAAAAAGGCTACCCTTTGAAGTCAAGCGTTAGTGCCGCATGTTCGAATTTGAATGCTTTATCTCCCTAATGACCCCTGGATTGCGTAAAACGTTATAGCAGAGCATTTTTATGCATGCATTGCAAATTAGGGACGGACCATTAGAAAAGTGATGGGGTGGGGGGGGGGGCAAAACCAAAAAAAAATTATTCCCAGAAAAATATTAAGAAAAAAAAATCTTTCCAGGCATAGTGCAAAAAAAAATCCTTGCTTAGAAGATAGGCCAAGTGGTGTACTGGTGGGAGGGCTCAGGGGGGCTGAGCCCCCCTTGTTGAAATTTTATGTTGACTTGGGGGACTGCACGTTGGTCAAATTTAGCAAAATTTCTCCCACTCGTGCGGGTTCGTATTGACAGCGGACATCTTACAGAGAGTGGCCAGTTCTCTGAAAAATGCAAAAGTTTCAAATTTACACCGCAAGTCCACTGACAATATCAGCCTGCGGTCCTGGGAGAAAATTTGCTGAATATGACCAGCGTGCTGAGCCCCCTATATTTTGGCACGTTGCATAATCTTAACAACGTCAAAAACACACACAAAAAATATCAGTAAACGAGAATGTTCTTTAGAATTGCATCTCATTTTCACTCATCATTTAACACAATGATTTTTGTAATCTTTATATCGCCATTTTTGTGATCTGTATATCATTTAGTACCACTAAATTGTAAATTTCGACATACTAAAACGCTGTTTTCTGACCATCAGAATTCTGTCAAATCTTCCCCAAAGTCCAGGAAATGGCATTTCAGAGACTCTAAATTTAGAAATTTCCTCGGCCTTCGGCTCTCGCTTCGGCTTGTTTTTAATAAGAACAAGACGCTCTATGGAGCGTTAACTCGCTGGGGCTGTACAAATACGCACATTACTTTATATGATGCCAGATACAGTACACATATATTTCTATAGACCTTTCCTTTTTTAAGTGAAATTTTGATCTAGACTAGCGTGGACAGAAATTTCATCACAGCTTGACAGGGCCGCCGAGAGGGGGAGGGGGGAATTGCCCCGGGCCACGAGGTTCTGGGGGTCCCAAGAAATTTTTTGTTGGGCACCAGTCATTTTTTGGCGCGAAATATTTCCGTTCTAGGGTCACAATATCTGTTTTTTCCGGGCAAACAACCGAAATTTGGTATGAAAAATTTGCAGTAATTTCCCACAAAAGCATTTACAACGTACTCGTCCGGAATTTTTTTTTGAATACGGTCCCCTAAGAAAAATTTGCCCCGGACCCCCGTCAACCTCTCGGCGGCCCTGCAGCACAGAATAATGCACACAGAAAGTCGCGACTCGAGTAACCGCTCCCACGCCATGATTCATCATCAAAATGCTGACGCTGGTCCTAGCCAGTGCGGGTTTGAGAGGCATTCCCCCTGGACGTCCACCATTTTGAATATTATCAGGGGGGGGTGAATGGCGTCAGCATTTGATGACGTCAGCATTTGGTGAGAATTACGGTTACGCCAAAATCTGCCAAAATCCTAGGAAAATCATAGGAAAAACAAAGAACTCGCCCTTCTGTGTACGTTATTCTGCGTCTGCAACTTGAAAGAGCATGACAAAATTAGTCATATTTAAAATGTGGATAATATAGCAGTGCGAAGTTTGCCGTTTTTCAGCCATTTTGTATTAATACAAATGGGAAATTGACCATCAGTTTCATTATCTGATTATCAATTTTCCGTTTGTACTGCAAAATGACTGAAAACGGCAAGCTTCGCAAGGCTATATTATCCGCATTTTACAACTTTTTGCAACGAAACTTCGGAATATTACTAATTCTGCAATGCTCTTCCAAGCTGTGATGAAATTTTTGTCCAGCCTAATCTAGATCAAAATTTCACTGAAAAGGGGAAAGGTCTATTAAGATCTAAGCCTGACCCCGAGGCTCCGAGCTAAGCGGAAAAGTCGAATACGAGTGCGAAAGCTTAACACACTAAAATGCGGTACCCTACAAGCTATTCTGCGCTACAAGTACAAATTGTCGAGAATTATGCATAGTTTGTTAAAGGACACTATAGTTAATCTTATATGACTTTTAAGCGTAGTATTTGCTTGCGCATGCGCGTTAGTGCTCGCCTTACGAACACGTTTTAGATTCGTAACATTCATATAAAACGACCGTTT